ATCATCCCATCCAACACAACATAAACTGGCAGCTTATCATAGTATGTTACATAGATTAACAGAAATTCCGATGTCAAAATACAACTTTGAGACAGAATTAAATATAATTAAGCAAATAGCAGTAAACAACGGATACAACGAACAAACAATTAATAAAATGTTAAATCAAAAACTACACAAGAAAGCCCTGAAATTAGTATTTTCCACCACCAGAGAAAAAAACCAGTACCTTCTGCTCGATTACATATACAGGCAAAATAACAACAAAAATTGCCAAACACATAAAAAAGAAAGGAATAACACCAGCTTTCCGAACAAATAACAACCTAGGCAAATATATTAAAAATAACAAGAGCAAAATAAAAAAACACTTAAATAGTGGTGTGTACAAACTTCAATGTGGCGACTGCCCAAAAACTTACATCGGTCAAACTGGTAGAAACTTTGATAAACGAATAGCAGAACATAAAAGGGCTTTCAAAAATAGAAAAACAGATTCGACATACGCACTTCACCTTCTAGATCATAATCATTCTTTTAATGACAAATTTTAAAATTATTCACATTCAAAATAAAGGCCTTAAGCTATCTTTGTTAGAATCTATGGAAATCAACAAATTAAAAAACACAGATATAATTCTGAATGACCAACTTGAAACAAACAGTTGTCCCCTCCTCAACCTATTTCATTAGAAACTATAAATTTGTAAACCCAAGCCAAAAATAGATCACTTGAGAAAGGCAATTAGCCGAAACAGCTGTAGTGATAAGATTTAAAATAAATTTTGTGGAAATTTGAAAACAAAGTTTTCAGTGTTTTTATTGTTACATAAAATGAATTTTCATAACGGTCGAATTTATCAATTTTTCTAATCTGATTCTATGTGTGTGTTGCATCTCAATATTTATGCTATCACGAATCTAATTCTAAGATCCCTTCATTCTATTGATTATCTTGTGGTTCGTTCGTCTTTTCAATTCTCCCATAATTTGAGAGCTTTCTTACTGAGGCCATAATTTTTCACAAATTAACTTTAACCTTTATTCATCTATATTTTCGTGCCACATAGCTCGGCTGCATCTGCTACTATCGGTCTAATTACCACTTTCCATGTTTTCTGTTTTATACTGCTGTTTAGCTTCCTGGCTTTCAGTAGTCTGTGACATCTCCAGTAGTTATGTTGCCTGATACTATACGCTCTGAGTTATCTGCGTTTGTCTTAGTTCTTTCGCTTTATCACTGAAAAATATTGGAAGTGATAGACTTTACCGAATGTGTTATTTTCTATTTTAATTTCCTTTATTGTGTTCTAATCTTTTCTGTAACGTAGGTATTTTATTTTTCTTTGAATACTTTCTAGTTCTGGTTTCCTCATTTTGATTGCAAGTTTTATTAGGGCTCTTTTCATATTTTTCCATGAGATCCATATCATCTTATGCTTATGCTAGTTTTGGCGTTAAAAAATGGGCTATAGTTTCTATGGTATCTTTCTAGCGGTGTGTTGAAGACAGTAAATTGCAAATTTTATTATGGTTTTTTCCCATATTTTCTCATCTCTTTCTATTAGTAGATCTATACTATACTACATCTATACTAGTATTTATATTGTAACATTGGTTATAGTTCCTTCTATATCCTTCTAGCGGTATGTTGAGGACAGTACTTGACAAGGAGTCTAGAGTGGTTCTATATTGTGTTCATTGCATTTCTCGTTTTTTTCTTAATTATATGGATTGTATCTGTTGTTGAATTTCTCTCCTTATCTTGTTTTTTACGGCTTGTTAGGAAAAGTGGAAAAACACATGGACATAACGTATATTCTTTAATTATAGTGTTCTTTTTTTGTATACATTACATCTATGTTTGTAGCTTGCGGATAGGCTTTAAAATCCTGCTGTAGATCGTCTTTTGGGACGATGTCTTGCTTAAATACGTACTAAACCCTTGTTCTCGTCACACCACTCATGGTCGCTTGCTTTAACTTTTTCGGTTCTTAGTGAGCAATATTAGCAGAATTTTTTGTTTGTTTATTCCTGGTCCATTTTTATCCCACTGGAATAAACACCATAACAATGTCCCATTTCTATGGTCCTATTCAATGACCCTATTACCATTTCTTCGTTTGAAAACTATTCCGATTGCTTGTATTCTGTTTTTTCATATTATCTAACAAGTACATACTCTAACACCATTAAAAAAACAGGATAAACGTAACAGGAGACTACGCATTTCTTAAGTTTTGAGGTTAGATATTTGTTACACGATAAGTTCTCCATCTTGAGGGCATGATTATATTTATGGTACATACAACTATCAAAGCCAGAATCTTACCTTGAAGTGTAATAATGTAAAATCAGCTTCATCAAATATGCCACTTAGGATGAAAATATTACATATTATGTATTATCCATCTAAATTATCTTACAACACTAATACTTCCATAATATTCTTTCCATTTTCAAGTATACTAATCTTACTATCGTTTTTATTTGTTAATAATGAACTAAACTGTGACAAATGTATATTTTTTCTATTATTGGTTTTAATAATTTTTGCACTTTAAATATAAAACACATAACCAACATCCAACATTTGTTTTTAGAGTAATAATCCAAATTTGGCATTGTCAATGGTTAAATGGTTGCCTAAAAACTTCATATGCACATGTAAGATATGCATAATTTTTTAGTTCAATTCATGCTGTAGTTAGTGGAATAATATTATAAAATGAACAAATAATAATAAAAAATAGATCTGAAAATTAATCAAGTAGGATATGTACAAACTATTCTCTTTTAACAAATACAATGAATGTAGATACTTGACAAAAAATCAAAATAGTAACTCAGTATTAACAAGTATTGGAACATGTTACACCACCTACATGTTACTACAGTATTAAAACTTTTCACGATTCCTCCATGTATCTACGAGTCTAATCTAATTATTAAGGGCATTATGAAATTCAGTGCACAAGAAGATTATCAGAATTGCTTCACAAAATGTAATTCACAGGAGGAATCCAAGACGCAGAATACAGATTTTAACATGTGACAAGTATATGCGAACGTAATTTAATTCCCAACATTTTACACAACGCGAGTTTGAAAAACTCAAAGACTGTTTTAAGTAAAAAGTGCAAGCCCAGTCAATTTTAGCTGATGAAATATCAATTTACAGTGAATTAAGAAAACAAGATAGGACCAAATAAGATAGATTTTCAATAACACTCAGAAGAATACATCCATCACAATTAATTGATGTAAGATGACTCAACTCCTTCGATGTAAGGACATATGGACATAAAATCCAGCAAACTCTGTGATACAAACACAAACCAAAATCAAAGTAGAAAGACTAATTTCGGAATTCACACAATATCTTTACTGATAAAGAATGCCATATGATTGCTCACACCGAAATACCAGCCGTCTAAATTAATGAAAGCTAGGAAAAGTTCAGGAATAACTTAAAAGAAGTAGCGAAGGAAGCTCTTAGGGAAAGAAAGATCACGAACACTCATATATCCAGAAAGAAAACACTTTAGTTTAAAGAGTAAGTGAAGTTAAAGTAAGAGAAGGAAAAAGTCTATTACACAATCTAGAATGCAACAAACACAACAGGCACATAACCAGTACAAAATAATTCGAAACGAAATACACGCTATAATCATAAAAATTAGAAGGGAGCCAGAACCAACAGTATTACCTATCTTGGTTGTAATCTAAATAAGAACAGGGACATAAGCAAAGAAATTAGGATATGTAAAGATAAGGCCAGAGCTGCATTGTTTAAGGTGAAGAAACTCTTTTGTGGAAACAATATCACTTTAAGACTGAAAATTAAAATTAGAACGAGATGGGAGAAATAAGCCATAGTCTCCCTCTTCTCCTATGTGTGTTGCCTTGTATGTTCGAGGTAGGATAGTATACCTCCACAGCCTTAATGTATGCAGGTTTTTTATATCTTCTTGTTGTAAGGACCATATTCTGGTTACATATAAGAAGAGCAACCAGGAGCGTTCGGAGTCTTATATGGATATCCAGCTACAGATGACATAAATTTTGCGCATATATCTTAATGCGATTTTCAATTTTTTTTGAATGGTCTAATTACGAGTTTACTCATCTTCCAAAATATATGTAGCTATGTACATAAATCAACGTTATTTTGTCTCTAGTCCCATTTTGGACTAACTTTAATCAACTTCATCCATATCTTCATCTATGTTCTTGAGAATCTGCGGAAACTATCACTATGATTTCACATCATCATCCAGCTTCGGGCGTCCACTTCTAAATATAGGCCTTCTCTTAGGTCGACACCTATACTGTGCCGATCTCATAAAGTTTTTATTAATTTTCTTAAAGTCATCAGTCTATCGTTCTGGTGGTCGGACACTTCGTTTGTCCTCACGTTGAATTCATTCTAATAGCTTTTTTGCCCATCGACCATCTATCATTCTTTCTATGTATCCTGCCCATCTTCATCTTAGTCTTTATATTCTTTCAATGTCAGTCACGCTAGTTATTTTTCTAATATTCTCGTTTTTGTTTTTGATCCATTTGTCTTGATTTCCACACCTTTACAGCTATAAACTAAATACTGGAAATGAGAATGAAATCAACATATTTAAAACAAAATTTACTATATATTCGTAAGACTATCAAACTAGCAAACAGGACTAAGCTAACGATGAAACAGTGTGACTACCTAATATAATACACACAGTTTCATAACATCGCAACATTTGGATCGAACATAAACAATAATTATTAAGAAATAAATTGACTTTTTCATTCCAGAAAAATTTTATTTTAAAAAAATTTACATTTTCATATATAATATATTTCATATCCTATATAACATTAGATGCTATGGAAGCAGTAGTAACTTCACCCATTGAGTTATTGCTCTCATAGCTTTTAAATTTTTAAAGCATTGCCAAATTTTCAACAAAATATTAACATTATACCTTTTCAACTGCATACATTTTTAGAGACGTTCTTCAACTGACAGGAAGTGACAACTGCACATTCAACAAAGCCCAGAAGGAACTGGGCAAAAACGATTTCACGAAAATTCCAAATGGAGTCAATGGTGTAGAGGATAGAATGTCTGTTATATGGGAAAAGGGCGTGCAAACTGGTATTATATCGCCCTGCAGATTTGTGGCTGTGACAAGTACAAACGCTGCCAAAATATTTAATTTGTATCCTAGAAAAGGATGTATCGCTGTCGGATCCGATGCTGATATTGTTATTTGGAATGGAAATGCCACCCGCACAATATCTGCAGAGACGCACCATCAAGCAGTTGATTTTAACATTTTTGAAGTAAGCAAATCTATAGTTTTTATTTACTATCTTATTAAGCTATCATTTTTTGTATTGTATTGTTAATATAATCTTGGCTAAGTGCTAAATTTTTATACACTATTCAAAAAAGTTATACCTGTATATTAGGCGTTATTTGGTTGTTGTATGATTTTTTAGTGAAATTAATTTCTATATATCTAGCTTTAGCCAGTGATATTACAAAGTGAGTCAAAAATAATACAAACAAAACTGTATTAAGATTATTAGTGTTATTAATATTTCATTGCAGAGTCATTTCACAACACCTTTCAATCTTCTTTAACAAAATAAATATCGCATGTTATAAGAAACTATTATCTCTTCCCGAGCACTTCCAATAATTTCCTCTACTTCACCTCCGTTTGTCAATCCAAATCTCTTTGATATAAATTTTTGACTATGGACACCTCTAGATTTTCGATAGACTTTTTGCTGACCATTGCAAAACGTTTATGTGGTTGTAGACCTGATCTCTCACTATTCCTGCCGTATGAATTGCAAAATAATTAAGTAATAAAAACCATTATTATAAACATTTATGAGTGAACCAAACTTACTACTCACATGTTGGGAGGTATTGGCTGGAAAAACTTCTCTTTTTTTTATTTTAGTAAAGTTAACGCTTATCCACGCCAAAATAATGAGTACGTTGTATACAAGTAGTACATAACGTATAATTCTCTTTGAAACTTGTTTAATTTCTAGAACAAATAACTGCCTTCCAGCAGAATACCACATTGATCCAAAATTCCATGTACATAATAAAATTTATTGGCAAATTCTACTCCACTGCCTTAATTTTCTGCAGTTAAAAAACATTACGTACAGCAATGCGGTTTTTTAAGTTAATTTATTTTAACTATTTTATTTTAACGCATCTGAGCTGTTCTAAGGAATCTTTTTAATAGTATTTCCTGTTATGCTTTCACACTAGTTTCAAAATTATTTTTAGGGATATATCCTTCGAGGGGTTGTTTATATGTTTCCTTAGAGACCTTCCGCACATTCTGCCAAAACGTCCATTTAAATTAAAGGCCTTTTTTTCAATGTTACTGCAACCATCTTATGACCAGTGAAAATTTCTTGTTGCGTCATTTTTGTAAATTTGTGGACACTAATATTTAAGCGCTGTTAAATTTAATTGCCACCAACAATTATGATACAAATTAAATAATTGCCTCATATTTCAGTTTCCTAAAATATCATAACAAACAATTTTTAATATATTTTAGGGAATGACGTGTCACGGAGTTCCGGAGTACGTAATAGTTAACGGAAGAGTTTGTTTAGACGATGGACAGTTACGAGTTGTGGAAGGGCATGGCCACTTTGTAGAAACCCCAGTATTTGCACCATATGTATATAATCCTGAGGAATTGGATAAGATAAAGCCTTCAAGATATGATGATGATGAGTATCTTGAAATAACACCCAAAGTACTTAAGGTGAGTATGAGTAAATTAAATTGTGCCTATTCATTTTTCGATGTAATGATCCTTGTGTACTGTTTAATTTCTTGTATGTTCCTTCGACGTCGACCAATTATTTAATTGATTAAATTGATATGTATACATTATTTGTACATTTTTCACATTTGGTCCAGTGAGGATAGCCTCAAAATGAGTTTGATATAACGAAATATTGGTGTTTGGCAATGTTAAAATTTACATTACAAATGAATTACCAAAAAAGTCAATTGTTTTAAATCAAGGAAAAGACAGTTAAGATTTGATTTCACGTATAGTGCTTCTGTATATCCGCTTATACGTATTTCACCCCAAAAGGGATCTTCAGAGCGGCTATTCATAGACGCTCTGAACGTGGCTTCGTATGGACGCAAATAGCGACATCTGATAATAGATTTAAAACAGCTTTTAAAAGAAAATAGTAAAATGTCAGTATAAAGAATAAAGTTAAAAAGACATCTGTTGCAATCTGGCAACTGGTAATTTGAGGTTTCTGACTCTATTGCCCAATCTATCTGCTAACCTAGCAAAAAAATTGTCTAATAATTAACTGCAGTTAATATCAAAAGAAACAAATATTAAGTAAAAAACTTTTATTAAAAATCCTTTATAAAAGGTATATAATTTAAAATCCCAATCAGGCTATATCACAAAAAAATTTTCGGAATCCACATTCCATCATCAGTGTCTAGGTGTATGTATTGAGCCACTAAATATGTGGGTAAAAACCCGTTAAGACTTGATGAAAGCAAGCAATAACAAATAATATTTAAAGAAAAGATTTGGTATTCAAAAAACAATTTATATTAAAATTTAAAAAAACATTTTATCAAATCACGTTAATTTATGAATATATAAATGACAGTTAGGAAGTGTTGGTATTATTTCCAGATTTGCTATGCGTAATTTTTATTGATTGTGTCATAATCATTGTTGGAATGTAAGCAAACCTAAAAGACTTCAAATAAGCAATTATTTATTGTATTTTATAACAAAAAAAAAACAAAATGTCAAAACAACTCTGTAGTTGTAAGGAAATTGTGTGTTCATTATTTCAATATTTTGATAAGGGGCGTGATAATGGATGACACCGACACAAGTAAATATCACAAAAAGTGTTCTTAATTGTTAGGTTTTTGTACAGTGTGTCCACAGATGAGGTGCTCAAGGGAAGATATATTTTATTTTTAGCGAAAAATGTCTGGAGTACCTTTAAAAACTTGCCTCGGCCATGCTTTTAAACAGTAAAAATATATATTTAGAAATTTGAAATTCAGTTTATTCAATCACCTAGTTAGTTAAATTAACTAAAGGGAATAAAAGAAGCTAGAATATCGTACATCAGAATTCGAAGATTAAGATTTATAAAATCATCATTAGAGCAATAGTCTTCTTCTTCTTACTTTGTCCTATCCGTTTCGGACGTTGGCTATTAACAAGGCTATTTTGACTTTGTTTACGGCACCTCTGAATAGTTCGGTCGATGTTAGTCCGAACCATTGTCGCAGGTTATGCATCCATGAGTGTCGTCTTCTTCCCAGTCCCCTCCTACTGTCGATTCTTCCTTGGACTATCAACTGTAGCAGCCGGTACTTAGTATGCCTCATGACATGTCCGAAGTACTCAAGCTTCCGTTTCTTTACGGTGAAGATTATTTCTTTGCTTTTGCCTATTCTCTGCATTACTTCCACGTTAGTGATGTGGTCTGTCCAGGATATCCGAAGAATACGGCGATATATCCACAGCTCAAAGGATTCTAGTTTCTTCAGGGTGGCTTCCGTTGTGGTCCATGCCTCTGCTCCATAGAACAAGACCGGGAAGACATAACACTTGACCAGTCTTAATTTTAGTTCCATTGAGATTTTGCTTGTCACTTTTTCATATTGTTGAACGCGTTTCGCGCTTTTTCAAGAGCAATAGTATGTTATGAATATGACAAACTGCTGAGAAGAGTCCTAAAAGGTATATTGCAAGTAGAAAACCAAAAGGAAGGTCGGCAAAATATAGAAGAGTAAAGTGGTAGAGGATACGCACAATCACAACTTACAGGAACGCGGCCCTGACCGCGTTCCTGGCCGCCGATTTGGGACCGCACTTGGGACTGCAGCGCCATTACAAAAAGAAGAAGAAAAAATATAACTATACAGTTTGGCATGTAGTTGTAGATTTTCTTAAAACTCTCACCTAATCTCTCACACTCTCACTAATCACCTAATGCTGCTCGCTTCGCACCCCGAATTTGATGCATTTTGATTGTCGATATATCAGTACACCAGGAATATGGTTTAGAACGAAAAGGAGTTGAATAAACTGCTTTTTTCTAAGTTAGGCTAGATAAAAATATAGGAAAACGATGTCTCTCCTAGTGTAGGGATTAATTTAGAATGTTGTGTTAAAAAGTCCTGCATCACCTTACCAAATACATGAAAAGGGAAGTTTAAGGCATTTACCTTAAATATTTTTTAACTATTTACTATGTACATCAAACAAGCACTTAAACATAATATTATAAAATGGTAACACAGCAACAATTTTGATTAATAAAAAAAATGTAGTACGGAAAATTTTTTATTCAATATTAAAAAAATTCGGCTATTTACATCAGGACGATATTGTACATCACATTGAAGTAATTTAAACTAATTTTAATATTTAATTGGCCAGCCCTTGTTTTTAATAACTAGTTCACATCTTTTGGGCATGTAATTTAATAATTTTTGCAGTTCCTCATGGAAATACAGTGATGCCAAGCGTGGATTAGACATTCGATTAATTTTGTTTTATTTGTGGGTATGCTTTTGGAAATGATGTTTGATATCCTTTGCCACAAATTCTCGATGGGATTGAGGTCCGGGGATTGCGCTAGCCAGTACATCCTATCAATTTCATTACTCTCCATCCAAGCTTTAACCAATTTTGCTCTATGGCAAGGAGCATTATCATCCTGAAAAATAAATTTTTCTTCGCCAAACAGATCTTTTCCACTACGCAGGATCTTATTCTGTAGTACCTCATTCTATTTGGTAGCATTCATCATCCCAGAGACAACGTGTAGGCAACAACTCTTCGAGCGGACATGCAACACCATATCATAACGAAGGTTGGATGTTTAATTGTGGGAATAACACATTTTGGAGAAAATTCTTTACCAGAAAATCTTCTGACGTTGGCATTTCCAGAATGATTATTAATATTGAAAGTGGATTCATCACTAAACAGTGCACTCTGCCACTGCTTTGCTGTCCAGATTCGATGTTCCTTGGCCCATTTCAAACGGTGCAATCTTTGCTTTTCTGAAAGCAGTGGTTTCTTCCGTGACTTACATCCTCTGAATCCAAAACTAAACAGTATTTTTCTCACAGTTGAAGTGCACACGCTTACACATGTAGATTCACGCTTCTTCAAGCAGCGTCATACCGAACAGAAATTTCTTTGGTCGGCCTCTACGCGGTCTGTCGTCGATTTTTCCTTGTTCAGCATACTTCTTAATGACTCTAATTACTGTAGATTAATTAGAGTTTACTGCGGATGCTACTTCGCGACTAGATTTGTCGTTTTTATGGCGAAAATTAATTTCAAAACGCCTTTCGTCCGATAATTTAGTTTGTTTAGTCTGGGATGACATTTTGACTTTTTATCAAAAATCAAAGAGCGAATAAATGTGTAAGGGTAACTAGTGTCTATATAGTAAAAATATGTGGCAACTTTCTTCAATCAGATTATTCGCTTATTCGCTTATTCGCGATAATTATTCGCGACCGGTTTCGCTTTCTACAATATGCAAAGCATCCTCAGGTCTCGATACAAAGTTAAACAAATGATGCCGGTACTCTATTAATAGATGGATGGTAGAACATGGTTGAAACTACTTTATATTGTTGAATGGAGAACTCAATTCTATTATTGCAGTTGTTTGACAGTAAACGGGAAGTTCTTGAGGAGATAGATTTGATCCAATGAATTTGAGATATGTGTGAGATTGTTTGTTAAATGTAAGTGATGTAATATACTATTGTGTTATTAAAGGCTATTTGTACTTATTCCAGAGATATATTTTTGAAATGTGTGTTATTTATTGAGTAATTGTTTTATGAGGGTGACAGTTTTATGACAATGAATAAGTGTAGATGTAAAAGTTGTGTGGGTGTGCAATTATTTTCCAACTTGTAGTTATCAATTTACTTTGATAAAGTTCTATTGGCAATGAATTAATTATTGGAATAATCAAGTAAATAAAATGTTAAAATACAAACAATTAAGGATAATTTAAACACACTAAAACAGAAAAACACTTAGAAGGGACGAAACAAACATTGAATTTAAAAGGGGGAAGGACTTTAATGCACTACATCATAGTCTTGGGCACAATATAGAATTCTGAATGCAGAATGGTAGATATAGGCTTCTCATATATAAATATTTTTTTTTTTAGATCAAACTGTTAGATGATCCATGCCCGACACCAACTTTGCCAGAATCAAATGTAACAACACCTTCCATGAAGGGAATGAGACCAGAAGGTCAAAGAAATATACAAGAGAGTACATTTTCTCTTACTGGTAAGTGAAATTTATCTTAATAAGTGTCTATAAGTGTTTATTTCAGTGAACCTTATTTAAACGGTTCAAGCAAAACTATCAGCAAATGTGGTGGAAGCACACAGAAACGTAGAAACACAAAAACAAAGAAAAGTGTGCTTTATCAGAAAGTAGACTCAATAAAATGAAAGTTTATTCTAAATAAAAATATATTCAAATAAACGACAAAAATATTTTTTTTTTTATTTTTCTTTTTTTCAAAGTATGTGTCTCGACTGCTAGTGGTCATTGATACAGGTACAATTTACATTTTTATTTACATTCTTAATACTTTTACATTGGGGACAATATTAGCTACAGTACACTTTTTGGAATACATTTTTTTTTTAATTAAATTGTATAGCTTTGTGCTTCTTAAAAAGTTTAATATATTTTTATAGTTACTGTTGTTTGAGATAACAATATTTTTAGGGTGTTACCAAGATTGTATTTACTTCTGGCCGTTAGGTAGTGTTGACAGTCAAGAAGTACTGGTTTTACGGAAGTCGTGGTGTTGCAGTACTGGCACAAAGCCTGATTGCTGAAATTCATTCATCAGTCTATGTATATGGCCTGTGTGTCCTATTCTTGATCTCCGAATAATATATTTGTCCGTTCTTTTCATTGGTGGGAGGTGAGTGGTAGAAAATGTTTGGTTGGAGAACGCTTAACTTGGTATTGCTTCTTTTCTCATGATCATTCCAATGGCCCATTATTTTGTATTTGAGTGTTCTTTTTATATCTGATGATGTTTGAATCTTTGTTGTTAAGTTCAGACAACAGGCTTGTTTTGCTGCTAGATCGACTTTTTCTTTCCTGGAATTCCAATGTGTGATGGGACCCATAAAATTGTTACTATAATTCCATTAGTTTGAAGACGATTACATATACTCTGGATTTCTTGAACTATTTGGTGGATAGAATGTAAAGGCGACTGCACAATTGCCCGGGAACGAGAACGGAAACTGAAAGCATCAGCAGATTCACAATTAAGGGTAAACAAGGTGTTTTGTGCTACGAATATTTAAATATTTTGTCACTGTCAAAAATGATACAAATTTAACCCCTGCTGTTCGATTGGGTTTGATCATGCCTGCAAATGCTGTAACAAGATTAAGGGATAGATTAGCCAACTATTTAATATCTGATGTAGGTTCAGTACCTTGGCAGCAAAAATATATTAATAGGGGATGATTTTTTTTAATGGAACCAATGTGTATAAAGTATTTTTGAAAAATAAATTTTACTCAACTGAAATGAAAATAAATAGTTCTTTTGCATAGAAAATTGCAATAAAAGATCTATATAGTACATCTTTTTTAAATTATAATTTGTTTTTTGGTGTTAATGACTTCATATCTTCTACTAATGACTTCATAAAATTTAAGTCACTGCTGTTGTGTGAGTCTTTTAATTTTGACTCACAAAATTTACTAAAATTAGCTATTGCAATAGTCATCATGTCCATTGCTTACAATATTCTGCAATAGAACAACAACTATTGTTTTGCAATGCCTCATCTTTATACCCCTTACTGCATCGACCATACTTTTTTCCACTAAAGAAATCAATAGTTCGTCACAGTCTGTGTAGGATGTAGGTTAAATCTTATTAGAATTTCACGTAAACATACAAAAAAACAAATCACTTAAACTAAACTATATTGAAGTCAAAATGCACATGTAAAATATGTTGTAAACGATCAATGTAAAAATAGCGTCCTTGGCGTAATGATGTTGTGTTGGGACTCGGTTGTGGACTGTAACTGCCTGTGTCTCTCTTCTCCTCTGGTCACTACCGGCATTCCCTCTCGAGGGGTGTAAAATGAACTTAACTAAAGGTGTAGTATACGAGGTTGCTCGAAAGTTTTAATATTTAAGTCTAAAGTTTTAACACAGTCATTCATTTTAATGTAAAATACATAAAATGCTTATATTAGATTATAAAAAGTCACTCAAAATGTAAACAAATTTTTATTTTGCATTTGACAGTATTTTAAATATTGCTTTCTGATTGGTTCCGGGAATACAACGGGAACGAGAAAGTTAAAACATGGGCAACTTTCCCGTTCTCGTTACCGGGCGGCTTCTCGTTCTCGGTTATTGTGCATCTAAATATTGATTTATGTAGAGGTTAACTTTTTTCCCGTTCCCGTTTCCGTTCTCGTTCTCGTTCCCGGGCAATTGTGCAGCCGCCTTAAGTTTCTTATGGAGTGAAAAATAAAATTTACTTCCATATAATATGTACAATAAACGTCGAAAACATCTACTTACATAATCGAATACGGGCAAAGAAAAATAGAAAACAAACAGTGTATACTAGTACAAAGCGGAGTTGGACAGGGTGACTCGTCAAGCCCACTTCTTTTTAATATAATAATGGACGAAATAATATAAGCAGTACGTAAAGGTCATGGTTTCTCTCTGCCAGTAGTTTTTCATTTTAATGGAATATTCCTCTTTACTGTAGACTTGACTATCTTGGATGTCACCAGGTGGAATTTAGATTTAGATTTACCAGATAAGTTAAGGCGATGAGAGGAGTACGTTAGAAAACTTTTCCAAAATGCAAGAGGTGAAATACAGAAAATAATTAATTCCTTTAGAGAGACAGAAGATCACGATAGATGAAATCAATTATGCTGGATTATATGAAGTACCAGTAGAACTGTTAAAACTAGTGGAAGAGGATAAGTTGGAAGTATTGGAAGATTTATTCAACACGGTGTACGATACGGAAATAACACCACAAGAGTGGCTGAAGTCAGCATTTATAACCATCCCTAAAAAACAAGCAGCAAAAGAGTGCGCTGATTATCGAACACTAAGCCTCAATTAGCGAGGCGCAGTTCGGGTTCCGAAATGGAATGGCTACTCGAGAAGGACTATTTGCCATTAACATATTGATTCAGCGATGTCGAGATGTAAATGTTGATCTACACTTGTGCTTCGTTGACTACGAAAAAGCTTTCGATAAAGTAAGACATCAAAAATTAATATCAATACTTATGAATAAGCCATTGACAGTAAAATCATAAATATAGTGCAAACATTATAATGGAACCAAAGTGCCATAGTTCAAATTGATGGGCAACACTCAGAAGAAATGAGGATCTGTAGAGGAGTTAGACAGGGATGTGTTTGATCATCATTTTTGTTTAACTTATATTCTGAAGAAATTTTCCAAAACACGCTCAATAATATCGAAGCGGGAGTCACCGTTAACGGAAAATTAATTAACAACTTAAGATATGCTGATGACACTGTAATCATAGCAACGAGTATAGAGGATCTACAACATCTTATCGAAAGCTTGAGTATGAATAGTGCTGAGATGGGAATTACTATAAACGCTAAAAAAAACTAAGTACATACTAATTACAGAAAGACCACAAAATATACATCACCTATTGACAATCAATGGTAACGTGATAGAACAAGTAGAATAATATCAGTACTTGGAAACTTTGATCAATGAAACCAATGATCATACTGTAGAAATAAATAGGCGAATAGAGATTGCCAGATCAGCATTTATACGAATGAAGCCACTCCTAATGTGCAAAAATCTAAATTTGGAGATCAGACTACATACCAGCCGCTGTTATATATTTTCAATATTACTATATAGAGCTGAGACTTGGACATTAAAAAATGTTATTTAAAAAGAATCGAGGCCCTTCGAACTCTGGTTATACCGCAGAGTATTGAAAATATCATGGACTGATAGAATTACAAATAAAGAAGTACTGGAGAGGGTTGGTAAAGAAACAGAATTAATCACCACTATACAAACCAGAAAACTGGAATACCTAGGCCACGTGGGGCCAAATTTTGAAACGCATAATACAAGGAAAGATTCAAGGAGTAAGATCTGTTGGCCGAAGGCAGAACTCGTGGTTTAAAGAATCTACGTGATTGGTATCAATGCAGATCGATTGATTTGTTTAGAGTAGCAAGTTCTAAAATAAAAATAGCCATTATGATTGCCAACCTCCGTAGGGAGACGGCACTCTAAGAAAAAGAAGGTGGAATTTCTTGGGAGTTCTGAATTAAATTCTTGAATTTTTTTAACCTGGCTTGCCTATTTTGAATAAGATATTGATTTTGATCGCGATTGGTAAGACTTTGAGGATTCATATGTTATAGGTTATAAAACATCATTCTCCTTTTTGTCATGTCCCAATTATTCATATAGCTGATGATTGTGTCTTTGGCGGAATTCTTCATTTTCTTTGATTGGTCGTAAGATTTTTCACAAAATTTTCCTATCTTTTATTTCAAGTTTTCGTAATGACTCTTTCTTCACCATACTTAAATATTCGATTATATATAGGGCTGACGGCCTGATCATTTTATTATAACGACAGAATTTTCAGTTAAAGATAAGCTTCTGCTTTTGACAGGTCTTCGCACATATGTAATGTACTTCCTAATTTTGAACATCTAATCACAATGGCAGCATTATCTGAACTATCAGGTGTAATAAACCAATACTCCAAGACTAAGGCAATTACTTTTATGGAATATTTCTTGCTAGTTTGACAACGGTCAACTGAGGAAGCACCTTTACAACAAGTAGGTTGGATCAACCATACTGTAGGAAATGCGAAGTGGAAAAGAAACAACTACACAAATCCTCTGTGAATATGAACTGCTTTGTGCCTTGTGGCGAGTATGCATCGGCAAAAGTGATATAGTGAATTATTAGTGAATAGGTGATACGGTGATAGTGAACCTGAAGAACTCCTTAAACTTGCCGTGAAAATGTTTCTGGCTTTTGTCCAGAGCACAGGTCGTCTTGCCGGTGTTTAATGAAAGTACAAGGTCGTGTACAAAGATATCACGCGCACTGCCAGAGACAAATACTGTCGTCGGATTTCAGAAGAAGGTAATGCATTTTATTAGAGAAGTGACGAAGACAACTAAGTGCTTGATGTTATTTTTTTAAATATATTATATGTAAGAAATAGAACTCGTAGATAGATATAAATACCTGGGACATGAAATTATGATTGGCAGAGATAACCAGACTCATGAACTGAAGAGAAGAGTCGGCCTTGGGTGGGCAGCATTTGGAAAACTGAGAGAAACTTTTAAAAGTGAGCTGCCCGCATGCCTAAAGAGAAAGGTATTTGATCAGTGCGTCCTTCCAGTCTTGACGTACGGAGCAGAAACACTTACCTTAACAAAATCAACAGCTACTAAACTGAGAGTCACGCAGAGAAGAATGGAGCGGTTCATGTTAGGAATAACTCTCCGAGACAGAATAACAAGCGAAGACATCAGGAGAAGAACCGGTGTGACTGACATCATCGAGAAGATAGCCAGACTAAAATAGAGATGGGTAGGACACATAGCCAGAATGACAGATGGCCGATGGACAAAGAGGTTATTGGAATGGAGGCCAAATGAAGACAAGAGAAGCGTCGGTCGACCACCTACAAGATGGACTGACGATTGAAGAAGACTCAGTAAAAACTGGATAAGAGCGGCGCAAGATAGACGGGGTTGGAAACATGAGGAAGAGGCCTATGTTCAGCAGTGGACTCTTGAGGCTGGATGATGTGATGTATTGCAGTATATTGATTTGTCGCGGTGTACATGGCTTTTGTCATATAATGAATCTCAATTCCGGTTGCGTTTACATGTATCGCAAATACTTCCCTCGTTTCAACTATATTATTAGACATACATTACAAAAATTGATTGCATGGTGGAGCTTAATATGAACCGAATATGAAATGTGACATCATGACTTGATTTTTCGATGTCACTCAGGTCTCTTTATCTTCTGTCATTCTCCCACTTTCTGATAGTAGGCACGTATGGTTGCGACAATGCGATCCATGTATCCTGTGGAGGTTCTGCCTTCTTTTTACCTTCGATCTTTCCCTATATAGTAAAATTCTCAAGACGATCGCTTCGAAAAAAGTTTCCAAAATATCCCATTATTAGAATTAGAGCGAATTAGAATGAATAGAGGGGAATTATGAAATATCTGATCACGGTGAAGATTGACAATCTAAAGACATGGGATAAAGTTGTAAACCGTATTAAAAAATATAAATTTAATGTCTATAATTTTTTTATACAGCTTGCTTCTTTAGTTATTTGTTTATATTATATATTGAATTTTAGTATTAAAACTGTATATATATTTTTTATTTTGCAGAGGAGCTTGATCCAGAAAGGAAGTCCTCCATACGCGTCAGAAATCCCCCAGGTGGCAAGTCCTCAGGATTCTGGTGAAGATCACAAGCGCTTTGCTTCTGCAACAATTATATTTTGCAATAAGATACCAAAGCTTATTTTATAGTTAATCATTTTTTGAATGTTTGTTTGACTAAGTTATGTAAGTTATTATATTTATATGTATATGCAGCGGATATCAAAATGTTGTGTTGTTATATTGGTATAGCGTTTTAAAAGTATATTAACTCGATTGTTTTTAAAAGTTTACAAACAGTTCGTCTTGTACATATCCGACTTAAAAATTATCAATTAAATTTTTTTCATAAGTACTACAATTTTAAACAAATATCTATTAAACTAAAACAGTACTGTTTTAGTTTAATAGATATTTGTTTATAAGTTTATATACTAAGATGTACTGACTGATAAATTCTTTGATTGGCTTAGATCAAGCGCGTTTGAAAATTAGGGTTACATTTTTTTAATGCCCTTTAAGAAAGAAGTATTAAAGGGGAAAATAACCCTTATGGATGAATAAGGACAATAGATAAGAGTGGCAGGTAATACAGTGGTAGGCCTAAAGTACGATTTAAGGACCAGGTGGAAGACGGTTTACTAATGTTAAGAGTACAAAATTGGAAAACCATGTCGAAAGATAGGAAGGAATGAAAACTGATTCTAGAACAGGCCAAGACCCACTATGGATTCTAGATCCAATGATGATGATGCAATACGATCATCTTTCTTTTTCTCCTCTCGACTTTTTTATCGTTAAACCTAAGACAAACGACTAAAAAAATCGTGGGTAACACATGCAGGATCTATAAAATTAATTAATCAGAAAGAGTAGATTAAGCAGTAATTTGGCCTACCACTTATGGCCATCGTTTTCTTTTAAGTTTACGATATTGGGCATAATTATGCTTTCATTTATCTGTGGTATTTTAGATAAGGGAACATAATTATCTGTTTCTTGTCAACGTTTTGTGCGACACCTACTGTAACTAAACTACGTACCTCAACATCATTCTCACTTAAATGTGTAATATCTTCCATGTGTCACACTGCTAAATTAAGATGTGTTGTGCTGACTTCTTCATCTAAATCGCTGCCAACATCTGAATTAGGCTACTCGATTTCCAAATTGTCATCTTCCTAGTCACAAAGGTCTTTTAGATGCTATTTTACTAAAAGGATTAATTATTATTACTACAAAACTAAAACGTTAGGATACAATACAAAAATCTCTTACCTGTTGACAGAATAAAGTTTTTCTGTAACTCTGCAAATCTGACTGCAATCTGCAAATAACTTCAAACGTGCACGCACACTGACGTCTAGCTCAAAATTTCATGGATTAGGCAGCTACTAAGGAGCGTACAGCTGTGAGTTAATCAAAAGAGCCTGAACGTAGAGTATTCTAGGGTTAGTAGGTCGAAGACAGAAATTTTTTATATCAAGACCATGGTATCCATGTGACCTTGTGCATCTATTTAGGCAGCTTGTTAGATTAAAAATGTCCTTAAACCATAAAGAATAGTTATAATAAGACGAACTGTTTGTCAATAGTATTTTGAAAGGTATTTACAATTTTAATAGGAAAATATGAATGTTCGTGTAGGTTAATTACAACGTTACATACGGTTTGGGTTTTGACAATATAGGTTTTTAGTCATGTTATCTACATGGTAGTGTGTCCTTAGTGTAATAATTGCCTTAATTATTAATAACTCTATTTATAAATTCAGAAATTACTTTTTACTTCCTATCGATTGTTCAAATTTAAAGGCTTTGTCAAAGAATGGAAATAAACAAAGTTGGAATTGGATAAAAGTTTACAAATAGATATGATTGGACAAGTGAAAGTTGTTTAAATAGTTTAGTGTTTGAAAAGTTCTTGGGCTAATAATGGAAATGACAATTAGTGCTTTTAAGGAAGTTTTATTTTTCAAATAATATCCTTGGCATCGAATGTCAAATAGCCAGATCTAATAGCAATTAATTTCACCATTTTCAAATCACTTTGGTAGGCAAGTGTATTAGTGGAAAACGGTTTTTCATTTTCTTTGAGATTTTTCTTCTTCTCAAGATACGCAAAAAGCAAAGTTTCTTTCGCTTCCAAAATACCGACGCCGTACTAAATGGACTCCTATGCAAGCAAAAGTGAAGAAACAAGAAAGAAATACCAACGCCACGACTGTTTCTGTCGATGACAGCGCCCTCACCTTCTTTGGAGTTGACAAAACGACTTCTATGTAATGCTCAGACTGCTGATTGGTTTCGGATTGTATAACAGTGAATCCGTGTTTTATCCATTGTAACGTATCGACAAAAAGGTTTCCCGTTTTTCTTTCAATAAACCAAACACTTTTCTACAAATGTCACGTGAAGGTGTTTGTCCAAGTAGGCATAATTGGTACACATCTTTCGCAAACCATTTTTGGTGTTTCTGGTTGCAATTATTGATGCAAGCCTGTTTAGCACGTTCTTTAGATGGTGTCAGAGGATTAGAAATTTTATCCACCTTTATACTCTTATATTTCAAAACCATCTCATGCCTTTTGTCGATGATTTTTAGAATTTCAAACTACACAATAAGTAATCACTTTTTCCGTTTTCACGCTAACCTCGACTGCTATCAACAACTAATGCCTACAGTCAACTGCTGACTAGAATAACTTGCAATGTCTACTTGGCGTTAAATTCATACTGAAAACCTATGCAGTGTACATATGGCGCCTACTAAAATGTGTATCACCGTTAAGCTGAAAATTGTATTGTATGTATTGTAGCGACCTTATCTGACCACTTAAGTGTACACACCAAAAAGCGATGTTTTTTTAAGAATTGTATAAGACTGCTTTAGTTTTTATTATAATGGATAATAGATTATTGTGAACAATAAATCTATTATAGATTTAATTAAAAAGAGAAGAGAAAATATCTAAACATAGATCACTATCGTCGACTAAATAGCTATATTTCATGTCAAAATCTAAATGTAACTAATAGTAGAGTAAGTATGTTTGACCATTGTTTCAAAGATCCGTTTGGTATGTTGTTTATATTTGTTTTTAGGTTAAGTTTTGTCGTTATTTATCGTAACCTAACCTTTTGGTACTTTGGTATATCATGAATGTAATGCTATGTCATAAATAAATTATAGAAAATACATAATTATTTTTTCTTTTTTAATAAAAAAAAAAACTAATTATCAATTATTATATTGTTCTGAAGCTATTTTCTTGTAGCTTTTTAAAGTAATTATTATATTAATGGGAATAAGTCACAATTAAAGGTTAAAATACGTTTATTGACGTTTCAATTTCCATTTCGAAAATTGTTCTCTAAATACAAACATTAGTACTAATGTAAATTAATTCTAATGTTTATATTTTGAGAACGATTTCCGAAGTGGAAATTGAAACGTCAATAAACGTATTTTGACCTTTAATTGTGGCTTATTCCCATTTAAATAATAATCAATTATTACGTATATATACGATTCTATCTGAAAGGTATCCGAGTTTTATTCATAATTTAGATTTATATTTATTCTTTGTCATATACCTATCTTGTAGTCGTAACTTTAGTAATTTAGCAAAGATTAAAATTGCTTATTAATCGGTCATCTATTACCAGATTGTAATCGTAAATAAATGAAAAAAAAAATGTAGATCGTGGATACTTCAAATAAAGGCGGAGTCCCATGTATCCGATTTCCGACATCCGAAAATCGTATGGTTTCGTAGTTGCTATTTGGAAGCTAGTCACATGGATGCGATTGTCGGATACGAAAATCCGTATAAACTGTTAACTGTCAATTTTTTGTTTATTGTTTGGATGTTTGGTGGTTTGGCTGGTAATTGCTGTTTTACCACTTTTGCGTAGTAAAACAGCAGAAGGGATTATTTCCGCATGGTATATAATCCCTTCTCCTGCTTTCAATTACTCAGTTTATTATGGATAACGAAGAAGAAACTATATGTAACTTATGAAATGTGTAATTACGCATTCTAAGGTAATTGCAAATATTTATCAACATCATTTAGCTTCATTTCCTGCAAGAGTGCAATATATTATTAAAAGCCCCTTGTGACTTTTTTTCTTCTTAGGGTGCCTGTCCGTTCCGAACGTTGACGATCATTCTGGCTATGATGATTTTGTTGGTTGCTATACGAAATAGCTGTGTTGAGGTCTTTCTATACCATGCTCTCAGGTTAGCAAGCTAGGATATTCCTTCGTCCTGGGGCTCTTTTTCCTTCAATTTTATCCTGCAAAATGCATTTGAGTAGCTCGTATCTGCCTTGATTTCTCATTATATGTCCCAAGTACTCCAGCTTACGGCTCTTCACAATGTTGGCCAAATCCGCGGTTGTGTTCATCCTCCGCAGTACTTCTTCATTGGTGACTCTTTCTGTCCATGGTATCTTCAGGATTCTTTTGTATAACCATAATTCAAACACCTGAAGTTTTGATAGAGTTTCCGCCTTCAATGTCCACGTTTCTACTCCATACAGAAGCACTGAATACACGTACTATTTAAGGAGCCTTATTTTTGTTTTCAAGGTGAGGTCATGGAACACAGAGCTCATAGCCAAGAATGCACTTTTGGCCTTTCCGATGCGACATTTAATCTCTTGGGTATTGTCCCACGACTCATCGATTATAGTTCCCAAGTAATTGTATTGTGAGACACGTTCAATTCTCATTTGGTTCACATACAGATTTGCTCCAGTTATGTTTTGCTTGCTGATGATCATTAGCTTGGTTTTGCTGGTGTTTATATCCAGTCCATAGGTTCTACTTGTTTCTGTTATTTTGTTCATTAAGTTTTGCAGCCCTTCTATGATATTGGAAAACACTATTGTATCATCTGCATACCGCAGGTTATTAAGCTTGACTCCATTTATTGAGATGCCTTCATCAATATCTTTTAGGGCCTCTTCAAAAATGTGCTCCGAGTACAGATTGAATATCAGTGGTGAAATTATGCACCCCTGTCTCACTCCTCTTAAGATTTTGACCTGTTCTGTATATTCTCCATCTATTCGGAGTACCGCTGATTGATTCCAATACAGATGGTGGACTTTTTTTACTGAAATATTTAACTAACCCAATATTTTCTTTGTCGAATTGTATGTTTGTTTTTTTTTTGCGAATTAAAAGAAGCAGACATAATAATAGCGTTTTATTATTTTTACGAAGATAGCTTCTTCGATTAAAATTCATGTTTCAATAAATTAAATGTACAGATGTTAAACTATTGGAATACAATTAGCTTACAAAACATCCGTTTTGTCGGAAAAAGTTAAAATAATTTTATCTTTATCCGATGTCGGAAGCGTAGTTAAAAATTTCGGATGAAATTCGGCGCAAAAATATTCTGATTCGATTCTGACCAATGAGAATACTTTCGGATCATCGTGTCGTCGGAAATCGGATGCATGGGACTCCGCCTTAAATCCCCATTAGACTTCATCGATGCTTTAAGCCTCTGCAACAGTTGTCGAATTCAGTTTTCTGTAATAACCTTCTGTGCCGTCGTCGAATTTGTTTGGATCATCTTTCATTCTTCAAATCATTCTTCAAATGGAATACGATTGAATCGAATTACATCGATCAATCCCATTCCATTCGGTTCGATTTCATTCGATTTGATTTAATTTAACTCGATTCGATTATTTTAGTTTAGTTTATTTTATTAACAAATACGCATGAGGCTGCGCTTACTACGCCACGTAGTGTGTGGTCGCACGATTTGCGTTTCATCCGTTTCTTGTGTCTTCATTGTTTTTACCCCTCATCGAAATCCATTTCACCGATCAATGCATTCCATCCGTAACCCACGATAAGAAAGCTATGCTTCCAAAAAGACGAGGAAGCTTTCATGGTGAGGAGTCTTGTTTTGTCTTAGGATCATAACCACTGCCACTGGTAATAATCTTTTTAAGCATATCTTTATAAGATAATTTTCAAGCTGTCTACAGCGGCTTTTAAAGCGAATTTGTAAACGTTTTGCTCTGAATAATTTTAGGATGTGCTTTGTTCCTACACTAAAAAAGCGTGTTATTACGACATAGACACTTCCGGGTGGCAAATGCGGTATGCAGCAGGATTCTAATTACTCTTGTATCAAAAAGAGAGTGCTGAGACGTTTTGGTGTGTAGTTATGAACGGGAGTGGGATACATTTGTAAAAGACCACGTATATTGCAAGATAAAGAAACAACGGCAATCGTCCACATGTGGGTTAAGGAAGATCTTAGAATACTTAAGGTGCAAATATATTTCTAATATTTGAAATTCTTATAAAAGCCCAAAAAATGTTAATAACTTGAGTATCAAATGAATTTGGCTTAAATAAATGTCTTACAAAATTTCAAAGTATAAAAACTAAATTCTCAACAGATAACCTACATGAATGAGTCTTACAAACAGAGTCTTTAACATTTTAAATATTTTAAACACAAATTCAGAGTCGATTATAATTAAGTACACAAAAAATATAAACAAAATCCACTGAACACAATTTGTGCAAGATGGAGAATGGCAAGTATAGTAGGGAAAGTACGAATACAGGTCTTTTGCTGACCTTCTATGCTAGGTGAATCTAGCTTTACAATTAAAAGAAATAGATACAGATGACCTCGACATTATTATTAGGAAAAGCCATGATAAGTATATTTCCCGCTTTACCCATTATAATCGTGCGTTATTTTTTTACCATTAAAATTTGTTTAAATTTAAAGAAAAAAATTACCGTGTATATTTTGTGCTGCAGTTAACTTAATTATAAATTTTGTTTGAATATATTACCAACACCCATTCAATAAAAAATTAGAAACATTGGACAAATTGGTTAACCTTGTCTAGATTTATACATTTAATAAAATTTAGTTTGAACACTTTTTTTATCTTTCAATGTGTTGATTATTATTGTTCAGTAAGGTTTATTATAACCAATATTCATAAATAAATCTCGAAAATGTACATGGCTGAATCGTCAGTATAAAGTTTATTTTACTGTCCTATAAATAAGTCACTGGCGATATCAAAATATGCTACTTACACAGTATTGGCGATGTCAACGAACTGTAGGGGGCGCTTTGTCAGATGATCAGCTGATCACGCACGTAGGAAAACAAAACAGAGCTACCATAATCTTTGTAGGTGAATCATTGTTGTGTCTAAAAATTATCCATATGTATTGTCTTCCATTTATTTTTTTGTTAACGCAATGGCAAATAACGAAATTAAACTTAGTCTGCTCGATATTTTGAAATATATAGGAGACACAAAAAGACCTTTAAAAGAAGGCGAGGCCTTGTTAAAGGCTGGCCACGTTGTGTTGTGTGGCAAACATAACAAATTAGTTGGTTTGTGTCTGCAAACTACTAATTTAAATGGTGCCCCACATGAAACCACTGTGGATGTGTTAAGAGACAAGTGGGTGGCAAAATGCACTTGTAAAGCCTGCCAGGGAGGAATGTGCGTGTGTTTTATTACGCATTAGTCTAGCATTCACCAGTTCCTCATTGATTTTTCTTTCGTGTTTTCCTTTAAGAAGGCATTGAGAGAGAACAACACCTTTCTTTGAAAGTTTATTTTTCCATTTTTCCTTGCTGCAGCTGTAATAAAAATTTTAATTAAGATCTATGTTAGTGTATATATCTGGTTAGGTATTACATTATATATAATAAATGTTGCAATTCTGTTTAGCAAATTTACTTGAAAAAAATCTGTTGATAAAAAATGTTGTGAACACACCATCATATCACTTGACATCGATTTCCCAATTTTTAATTCCTGTGCCCAACGATCTTGTAGATTTTTGTCACGATAAAAAAAGTGCATACTTATTCCTTCCGATCGATAATTACTGCAGTGCGGTCAGAACAATACTATTTACATTTAATTTTTAACACTTTGGTAACTTATTGTGCTTTATTTAATATTTAAAATTTTTATAACTATGTTATAACTAAATACGTATATACAAAATGTTTTGTTATCCTACGTGCACTAGTTCAAATTCTTACCGCACCGTGCCGCCTCTTTCGTTTGACATCGCCAATGGACCGTAGGAGTGTGACGTCACATTTTCATTATTACTTTCCAAACAAAAGTTTAAATGTCCAATCTCAAGACTTT